TATATATATATATACACAGAGAGCTTCTATTGAGGGATCCCTCAAATTATTTGAGGGACACCCTTTGTAAGGCCCACTCCGAATTATATTTCACTAATCCAAACCGTCTATTTTGTAGATACACATTCAAAGATCATCTCTACAAAAAAATACTTGAATATGATATCATTTGACCATTTAATTGAGTTATTGAAATTTTAGTACTCTCTTGAAGCACCGTGTTCATTGATTTGTAAGACACAATTGGATATCGAAACGGTTTCCGATTTGTCTAATTTTTTGTAAGGATGATCTATGAATGAAGACCTAAAAAATAGATGGTTTGGATCATTGGAAAAAAAAATTATAGGGTACCCTAAAGGGCATCCCTCAAATAAAATTATTTGAGAGATCCCTCAATAGAATGGGACTGTATATATATCTATTGAGGGATCCCTCAAATAATTTTTTTTACTCCAGATTTATGTTCTTTGCTAGTGGTGGAAAATGATATTTTTTATTTTTTGAAAAAAAGAGACTAACTAGTGGTGAACCACGGCAATCCACCCTTTCTAGGCAGTGAGAATCGAACCCCAGACGAGCCGGGAGCATAGCGGGCTTGAGGAACGCCTCAACCACCGGGCCAACATGATATTTAATTTTAGTTATTTTGTCTTGTGCTGTGTCATAGGTACGTTAGCATTTATACCTTTTGGGCTTTTATATACTTGTGGCACAGTTATGTAATATTTATTCTTTTGATTTTTTAACATATTTATGGTATAGGTACATAATGATATTAATAATATGTTATACGTTTTTCTACCTTTTGGTTAGATGTATTTGTACCTTTTGATTAATTGAGTTTATTTGTATATTAATTATGTGGTTCGAAGTTGCTAATTAATGACTCTCATCTGAGTTGTAGGCTACTCTATTTTAATAACGTTCAAAAACCTTTATCTGCGTCGATTAGCAATGCCCCAGCTCCGAATACCATCCCATGAGGCCAGCACCCGTTCTACTGATTTTGCCAGTCCTGCCGAATTACTCTCGAAGCTCTCGATTTTCTGGTTCAGCTTACTATCCCCCAAGGACCAGCAAGACAAGATTGAGCAAATCTCCAACAAACTTGCTGCGGAAGATGTTAATGTCGGAAGCCCTGCAGCAGCAGCAGCAGGGGAAACCAAGGAAGATGTGAGAAGGAAGGCATTCGAGATGCTGTTTAATGAAGTTCCCGTCGTTACACGAGTCGATTTATTCAAGGAGATTACAAAAATATTCTTCGATGAAAGACGCTTGTGTGAGGGGATTCCTTTGTCCAGGCAACTGGGTTCCAATGAGCAACAAGAAGAGATAGATGAAATCAAGCAGTCCCGCTATGCTGAATTTTACTTGGGGCTGTCAATCATTTGGTTCAAAGCACGATGCGCCAGTGATCCCAGAAACCTCATTCAAGTAGTTGTTGGTAAAGCCGGAGTAGAAGATGATATATTTGAGAAACTCGTTAATGAGACTGAGGAGGATTTCAAGCTCAGGAAATTTACAGAGTCGTTTAAACAACTTCAATTCAGTTCCCAGGAGGAAATTGTGGAATTTATTCAAGATGCAGTATTTCGTGATCTAGTCGATGATGTGCCTAATACTTTTGAAATGAGGGAAGATGTGTCTAATACTATTGAAATGAGCGATGGTGTTAGTGGTAATAGATTTTATGGAAAAGAGAGGGTGAGAGGTAATGATGAACTTTCTGACGACGGTAGATGCAGAGCCGGAAATATTAATTTTAGGGAACCTTTGCTAGAATTCTTGAAGGTGAGAACTCCAAATCTAAGAGGTGCAGGAGGAGCAACAGCAACTCAAGGAGGGAGGGGGGGACAGGGAGCAATTACACAAGGAGGGCAGGGGACGAGCCAGCAGTAGGATGATTTGCAGTCATGCACTGAGGAAATAAGCCTTCAATGCAGAAGATAAAGGTCAATTCATACATTTAGCAGCACTACTCTTGTTTATGAGTTTGACCTGTCTTGTGCCAGTATGTGCGTTTTATTTGTATGCAATATAGCATTACTCTTCTTGTTTTCTACTTATCATAATTACCTAATGTTGTTTGGCTTCTTAATCAAGGGATTAATTTATACCTGAAGTTGTTCTTTTGCTTTTAAGTTTGGCTTGTATTTGGTCTTAGGTTAGAGATTGTACTAATGTTTGGCTTGAGTTCAGGGGCCTTACTAGCTTCATCCTTGGTTCTTTTTTCTTTTTTTGAAAGAAGCTTCATCCTTGGTCATCTGCATAGTTTTCCCGTGCGACCTACTTGTGAAACAACAAAAACTTATTATATGAGAATTGAACATATACAGCCTCGTACTCACAATATCTATCGAGACTCATCACATACGACTTACTGATGAGACAAAATTGGTGTAACAATTAACGCACATAAAACCTTATTTGTGCTGCTCCGTTTTTATTTAGAAAATAGTATCGCCAGGCAGCTATACTCGATTTTCTTCTAATTTTTTTTAAAATAGTATAGCAGGGCAGCATTACTGGTTTTTTTTAAAAAAATTATTTAAATTGTCTTTAATCAATAGTATAGATGAATGTCTAGTCTTTTACATATGGATGCATATATATATATGTATTTTTCAACAATATATTCGTGTTCTATACACGTCTCACGTTTTCTTTAAAAAGCAAACATACAATAGTCGTATTGCACATGTACGTACATATTTATAATGTTTCATACATCTATTTTCTATAAAATTTTCAGCAAGACACAAAATTCAAGTATTATACAAATAATTCTCACATATTATTGAAGAAGAATAACATATGTTATAAAAATTATATTAAAATATCATATAGTGGAAGATTAATATCTACTTTGGATATGTTGCAAATTAATATCTATTAGGTACAAACTAATGCAACTAGGAGGGTCCTTTTTTATTATTAATTTGTTAATTAAATAGTATCGCCGGGTGACTATGCTATGATTTTTTTATATATAAAATAGTATAGCCATGCGGCTATACTTATTTTTGACACGTGGCTTTAATTGATAGAGGTCCTTCTTTATTTAAAAAAGAAGAAAAAAAAAAAAGAAGAAGTATAGCTGCAAGACTATACTCCATGTTTTTAATGTTTTAAAAAAAGACATGTGTTGACACGAGGCTGGTTGGGGGTCCTCTTTTTTATATTATACCAAACATAGAATAAGTGTTATCCAACTTAGACCAAGCCAAGCCAAGTCCAAACAGTCCTTAAGAATTTTATGTAAAAGACTCTCTAGTCCTGGTCCAAGCATATACCAAACATAGGATAAGTGTTATCCAACTTAGACCAAGCCAAGCCAAGTCTAGACAGTCCTTGAGAATTGTCCATGCCAAGACAGTCATGTGTAACAAACGTGACCTAAATATTTTAAAGTCCTTATCATTAAACTCATGGATCACACTAAGTGATTTAAATGTTTGAGGACTCAAACGATAACTTTTGAAAAATTAAGAGACCATTTATGATAAAAATACCAAAAAAAAGGTTATTGAGTCATTTGACACGAATTTGACATTACTATGCTGTGAAAATAATTGCTGTGAGAGAAAGCAATTTGGTGTTTAGTAAATTTTTTGTTCAAAGTGTTGTTGGTATTGATTTCTGCATAATCAGAAAATGATTGCTGCATAATCATTAAACTCAGCGCCTCTTCGAAACGGATTCTTTCATAATCAGAAAATGAAAGCACTTCATTAGCTGTTTTCTCTTATAGCTTTCTCTCACAACAGTTTTTAACAATAAGTGATTTTCTCACAGTTTACCAATGGGCTTTCCAAAATTTAAAAAAAATCACTTATCATCCCAAATAAGCAATGTCAACCGGACACTAAATAGGTCGCGATTTTTTTTTAATAAATTGGTACACGTGTCACATTTAGGCTAAGCCCAACTTTTGTACGAGCATGGGTCCATCCTAGCCCAATCTCAAGCCCGAACTCTGAGACAATCCGAGTCAGATAATGAAATGGCAACACCGCAATTACGCGGTCCTCCAAGGGCGGTTATCGCAGCACCACCGACTCAGTGGAGAGCGTTCGTTGGCAAAGAGGAAAGCTAAAGTTTTAAATACCAACGGAGAGACCCCACGAGCCTCCAAAACCAAAACCCAAAGACCAACCTCCCTTTATCTTCTTCTCTTTACTTTTATTTTTTATGTATTTAAATTTTTTATTTTTTTCTGTACAATTATCTCGCAATAATCTCCTCGATTAGGGTATCCAAATAATCCCCTCTCTGCGTATTTAATTTTTGTTGTTCCTGTATATTTATTTGATTTTGCTTTCTGTAGAGGTTATTAATTTATTGGTTTTTGAATTTTTGAATTTTTTTTTTCCACGAGAAACAGGAATCGCCTGGTTCGATTGTGTGACTCGAGATCGGCCAAACCAAGCAGGTGTGGAATTTATGTTCTGTATGAAATTTATTAATTATTTATTCGTTTTTAATTTTTTGCACTTGAATAAGAAGCTGATGAGTTGCATAAATTTGTTTTCATTTGTGTTGGTTGATTACGTGTATAGGGTTTCAATCATCGTGTTTGATAAAATTATGTAAGCGTTCCTCTGCTGTTGAAAACGTTTCCGGTTGAAAGTTCTGATTTTTCGTTGCATGACTGAGCTTGTTCAGATTTTATGGGATTTTTTTTCAAGATTTCGGTATTTACAGAGCAAACTTTGGAAGTTTTGTGTGTTACCTGCATTTGATAGAACTGAGCTTGTTCAGATTTTGTCCGATTTTTTTGAAGATTGCGGCCTTATAGGGAAAACTTTAGAAGTTTTGTGGGTTTTCTGCATTTGTTAGAGTTATGTGGTTGAAATCGTAATCTTTGGCCTGAATTAATCAACTGAGGGATTTCGATTTGCATAACAGAGCAAGTGAAATTGATGTTTTACCCAGGTTGAAAATCTCAAACTTTTCAGGAAAGGAGATAAATATCTAGAATTGATGAGTTGAAGTGCATAAGAGTTGTTTTTTTCTCTTTTCTTTGGTTATGTAGTTGCTTTATTCTGTAGAATTGGTTATATGTGTTCACTATGCTGGGCATTTGGAGTTGCCCGAATTTTATAGTATGTGTGTATTTGTTGAAATTTGTCCTTAATTTGTATGTGTATAATGGTTTGATATTTTTGCAGTGGGTGAATGGAAACGATGAGGTGCTTTTTCTTGTTCTTTTTTCTCTTGCAGATAACTAATAAAGATGGAATCTCACGATGAAACTGGATGCCAAACTCCAGACCGCCCTATCCTTTGCGTTAACAACTGTGGATTCTTTGGAAGGGCCGCTACAATGAACATGTGTTCTAAATGTTACAAGGACACACTCCTAAAACAGGAGCAAGCCAATTTTGCTGCTTCATCCATTGACAGCATTGTGAATGGCAGCAGTAGCAGCATTGGCATTGGCCCAGTCGTTGCAGGTGTTGTTGATGTGCAAGCTGGACAAGTGGAGACAAGAGTTATTTCAACAGAACCATCCATTGACTCGTCTTCGAGCATGGTGTTTGAGGTGAAAGAAAAAGAGGGACCAAGCAGATGCACTACTTGCCAAAAGCGTGTTGGTTTAACTGGCTTCAATTGCAAATGTGGAAACACCTTCTGTGCAAGTCATCGTTATTCTGACAAACATGACTGTCCTTTTGATTATAGGACTGCTGGTCAAGATGCTATTGCAAAAGCCAATCCTGTTGTCAAGGCAGAGAAACTTGATAAGATCTAGTACTCATGGGCTGAACTGAAGATTTGTGTATTGAAAGATGATGGTACTCTTTCTTGGTTTCGTGTCTTGTTAGGTCTCCTAATGGTAAAAATGCTAAGTCATGATAATGAGGACATGATTTTATGGGAACTCTATTCCTAGTTGGTGAAGTATTCCTTTGCTGGCTCCAGTGTGTAAGTCTTTATTATTGTTGGTTTGATGGATGTCTTTGGAGCAATGTTTCAGTATGGTCTTCTGCTTCGTATGCATTTCTTTATTGCAGTACATGGAAATATGAAAATTTCAGCCTTCGGTACAATTATGTTGTGCAATTAAAACTTCCTTAAGTTGTTTGTTTTGTATTTTCATTCTGTACATGTGTGCCCGGCTTGTTTTGAAATTTGAAATCATGTTGTTAAAACACTTTTGTTATGCTTGTATGAGTATTCCTTGGCAATCAATTGTATGTGGAAATTTCCGTGTGACATGGTTAGGGGCTTATTGGGTGGGTAAATGAATTCTCGCTTAGGTGTTTGGTTGCTTTTATCTTCTTAATTTTGTTTATGGTAGTGTTTCTGTACATGTATGACGCGGTGCCTCTTATTGATGTGTGTGATTGCTAGGTGCAAGGTCCAGGTCAGGTTATTCTAGTCCTAGATAAGAGAATTTTGGGCTGTGATCTTCTTGTGTGAGTATTAGATGCCACTGGGCTCCCCCAAAACATGACTAGTGGGGAGTGCTGGTTTGAAGTTATTTTCATTCTATTTTACCATTATACTTTTATCTTGTGAGAGAGTCCCTCACATGAACAGGGTGCATTCTTGAGATTTCGAACTTCTGGGATTAGAACTTGAGTGAATCAATGGAAGAGTGTGAGACAGAAATATAGTCATTGCTTTATACATATTAGTATAGATTTAGAAAAAGGAAAAAAAGAAGAAAGGTGTGCATAGATAATATTGGCAGGTACTGAATTTGATTTTTTTTCATTTAAGCTTTTTAATGATGGAATAAGGCTCCCACTTTTTCTTGTAGCTAAAGGGGGAAGGGAACAAAATACCACCCGAAATATCTGTGACTGCAATTCTTCCTCTGGTGTTGGATGCTAATTTTCTTTCTGATGGTGGAATAAACAGTCATTAGGTAAGACCATGCTGTGCAAATAATACTCGGTGTTTTGGGTTGCATCAAGGGATGGTATGTGTATGTATTATTCAGTAAGTAAAACAGTTGGTAATCCTATGAATCTAGTAAATGTGTTACTGGGTTAGCTGTGTGGGAACTCTGTCAGGGTTTTTAAGCTTGGTGGGAAGTTGGGTGCACCTTATGGCAAGAAGGTAAACGGATTGCACCTGGAAACAACTATTAGTAGCTGTTTTATAGGAGGGGAACACATAACATTCTGGCGTTTTGTTTCATATTTTTGTTGCTCTGCACTTAGTCTTTCAGGATACTGCTGTATAACCAGAGGACTGGTTATTTATCGATGCCAGGTTCAGGGAACTTTTCTCTTCTTTTCTTTTCTTCAGCTGTTGTAGCTTAAACAGGTGGAGGTCTTGCTCATTTTTCTTGAAGCAACCTGTTTGAGGTTCATAAGAGTGGATTAAGTTTATATTTGATCATTGGTATGCCTTCAAAAACCGGCTTGAAGCATTTTAGCAGTGAGTGAGATATGACATTTGTTTGGACAATCAATTTATGATTAAGATGTTGTAATGGCATCAAAATTCAACAAAGTTCTGAAGGTTATTATAAGACCAATTAATTTATGGTATGAACTAAGCTTAAAATACGAAATAAAACATTTATGCACGCATCTCAAACTGTTGCTTGTAGAAACTTACTCAGCTACGATGGAATGTATATTTCTTGACTTATGTGTTTATTAGCATATTGGTATTAGAATGATTCCAATTCATGACTTCGGTCTTCTCTTACATCTACTAACACACAAGGAATAAAGAAATTATGTGAATTCTACTTGAAAATCCGGAATAAATTTGACCATGAGAATCTAAAGATATGCGGGTTTTACATTACAAATGATAATCTAATACCTGAAAGACAAAAAGTTAGATTGATGAGTAGTTAATGTCATACTCATTCCTCTTCCCAACTTTTGATTTCTCCGAACTTTGACTTTCACTCATTCCAGATTAGTAATTCCAAGTATTTTCTAGCTCAGGTTATGTTCTTCCAAAACCAAGCAATCTCTGTGGAAGTCATAAAAGGATCACCAAAGGAGTGTCAAAACATGGCAAGCAACATGAACAACCAAGTGTCCCCACTCTCCACCGTCTGCTGAAAGCAATGTCATGTTGGTAGAGGCTATGGAGTGTGGTGCATTATTGCATACTGTGTTTACCCATTACCAGCACCATGGCTATTAGCTACCTTTCTTTAGTGCAATAAGTGGGTATTTGATAACAGCAACTTTCGACTCCCCCACCACCCCCATGCTTGTTTTCTTCATCAAAGACAAAAAGGGGGCTCCCTTCAAATCCTTTTTTGGGGACTTGGAGACAAGTTTTCTAGGGAACACATTACATGCAAATACCCTCTCTCTCTCTCTCTCTCTCTCTCTCTCTCTCTGACATGTAGGTGATTAAACAAATGAAAAATTGCATATGATGTACATTATTTTTATGTCATTGGTCTTTGGATGCTCTAATAAAAGCTAAGACTCCTTTGAGCTAGACCTTTTCTAGATGCTAGTCAATTCATAGGATTAGATTCACATGTTTATTTTAGGGTTGAAGACAGACATCTTTCTATTGGTTGACATTCTCAGCTCAGAGTCACAAACCAATTTTTTTTATTTTATAAATAATAATATGGTACAATTTTGGTGAGTAAAATATGTTATAAAATAAGATTTAATTTCGAGGCATGCATAGCTCGATGAGTTTGAACGCCATGATCGATGTATAGATTACAAAAATGCATGGTTGACTGGTGATACTCATGGTTTTGGGGAGGAAAGAAAGAGAGAATAAACAAAATGGTAACAAGCAAAGCAGTAGAGTTTACAGTTGTAGTTTGCTTTTAACTATTGTGGTTTTGGACTTGCAATTTCTAGGTATGATTATGGGTGGGGATTGTTTGGATTGGATCATTAGAAATAGCCACCACTTTTTGGGATCTCCTCGTGGCTTATATCATGGCATATTGACCTTTTAAATGGAGAATTATTGATAAAATCCACCTGATGATACTGTTGGTATGAGGTATGAACATTGTAGCTTTCTCCGTCCTTATTTTCATCATGTTTTACAAATAACACAACTCAAAATTGACACCAATGTAACGAATTTAGATTTATCGTTAATTTTGACACAATAAACAAATTTACTATCTTATTAATTCAATAACTAAAATTATAGTGTTAACGTTGAAAAAATTATGTGTTCAAGTTACGAGTTGTCTTATTTAAACAAAATAGGAGAAAACTAGGCTTCTTTTGCCTATTGGCCAAAATTTCTTGACTTGTGTTGATGTGATGAACAAGCTATTTACAAGATAAAATCAAATTAACCATGCAAACATCCCACTAATGGGAAACAAAAGGCCAATTGAACTTTAATGACTTGCTCCACCAAATCATTGACATAATGCACAATTTATGAGTATTGCATGAGCATTTTCTTTTCCTAGTCAGTGTCAAAAGACAACATCATGGAAATGGGGAACTTTATGCACATCGAAAGGCATCTTGTGATGATAGCATCCTCCTCTGTATTCAAATCTTTCCTTGAAACTTATCTTGCAAGCCGGCTATGTTTGTTTGTGAAGCTATGATGAGAAATGTGGCATTGCGTTACTATAGTTTTGGTCTTAACAGCTGTATCTGCTCAGTTTAATTGATTGGACATTGTTACTCATTAGTGTTGTTTGATTAGAAGGCAATATAGGGTGCCGAATAGAAAGAGCACCACAGAAAGGGATCGCGTAGGCCAGATGACGAATGATTATTTACCCGAATAAATTGATTATATTATGTTACGTCGGTGCACTAATATCTTAATCTTGTACATAAACTCTTGCCAGAAATCAACTATCTTTCGGTCTAATGCTATTTCTCTTCTCAAGACAGTGAATGCAATTTCATCAAAACAAAAGTGAATGCAATTTCGTGTAAGGAGGAATATAAGTGAATGCAATTTCGTTAACTAACAATTTCTAATAGTAGTCTGATATGTGTTAAATTGTGATTAGTTTATAAGTAGGGGCGTATCATCGACTTTAAACCATATGAAATATGAGAAATTCAAATATGAAACATCTTTCAATATTAAAAAGAGAAGTATTATTACGAAGGAGTAAGAAAAAATGTACAAGGAACCAAGATTTGATTTCACCATTCTCCTCAGCATAACATCTGAAAAAGGTTCCATTTCTTTCTTTTATGTATTTCTACATGTCCTCTGCGAAAAATTCGTTAAGTAGAAAAGGTGTCATTTAAATCTGCAAAATGAGGCATCATTTTAACCATTGAATTGTTTTGAGCAGCCAGAAACAAGTCCTTGTTTTTTTCCTGGGATAACCAGTTGCCATATCAACGATGCAGAAAATCCTGTCATGGAATTAACTGGACCTTAAAGTGTGACAGAGGGACCATTTAATTTTTTATTATTCCTTGTTATGTTGTTATTCAAAACCTTCAAATATCAAATCAAATCAAATTATTCAGACCAAAAAAAAAATATCAAATCAAATTAAGGAGCAGATATCATGTAACGTCACTTTTCTTCCTTTTGGTCTATCCGAAACCAGAAAAGAAAAGAAAACAGTTGGCAATGTCAACTGGGCTGGCCTGCCTTCGGCGAAGCCTATGGCTTTTAGGGTTTACTGGTACACACGCAGAGAAGCCTTCCCTGACACGACAATGAAATTTCTACTAGATTTTTTTGCCAGGTCACTGCAATTATAACACTTGTCCTTCAACCTTTCATTTTTTTTCACTTTCACTCTGAAAAGTCAAAACCCTTGGATAAATTGTCAACTTGAGCATCACCCTTTTGCACAGCAGCCAATTGAAATTTTCCATGGACAGGACCCCTTTTGCTGTTGCTGCTGCTGTGTTTTACGCTTTTACCTAAACCTTCGTCCTTTCATCAACTTCTTTGAATTTCACACTTTCCCATCACCTAATATGTTTATGTTTTTCTTTTTCCTAATACGTTTGAATTTCACCCTTTTGTAAATGGCATATTTGAACTTGAGACATCTTTCAAAATTGAGAAGAAAAATACTATTAGATCAATAATTAGTCGATGATAACTTTACAATGTTGATTAAAAAAGACTTCAGATGTAACGA